GGTTTTAGTCTCAGAACCATCTTATTATTTGTGCTTGTACACAGTCTGTTGGGTCTGTACCATACAACCTGAGGACGTTCTTTATCAATCTGGATTGCTCATCACAGAGACCCAGCTTTTTAAAGGGTGCTTATTTGAAAAAAAAAATATTCAATTGAATAAGTGATTAAAAATAAGTAATTATTCTAGTAAGTGTTTCATGAAAATTTGCTGAAAACACATTAATTCAAATAGAGATAATATAGACATTTTTAAAAGACGTGGCAGGTCAAGATAGAAAGGAAATAAACGCTTACTCAATAAGCATTTAAAAATAAGTCCAAATTTTGGTCTAGCACTTATTTCAAGTTTATTTCTCAAATACAAATAAGTGCTTATTGATGTGGTCCTGTCCCCAAATAAGTATTTATTCTGGGAAATAAGCATTTATTCAAATAAGCATTTCTAAATTTGGCTTCATTCTGAAAGTGTGAACTGTTAATAAACCGGGTCCTGAAAAGGTTATTGGGTCAGTTAGTCACCAGTTCGACCATCCAGTCTGGTTCAAACCTGACAATACTGATTTGTCCTTTTAGGTTTCATTTATTTGCATTGGTGTAAATGCACGGGAGTGCAAATAGACTGAATGTAAATTGTGGCTTATCTTGGTTTCAGATTTGATTTTATCTTGGTTGTTTGTAAGAAATAAAATAAAAAGGCAAAATGATGTGATTCCCACCACATATTAAGGAGAATGGAGGAAGAAGAAAAGTTATTTGTTGGCTCTATTTGCATGCAGTACAATTTCATTTACACTGATGCAAAAATATGGGAGTGCAAATGATTTCAGTGTAGATTCTGATTCATTTTTATTTTAGATTTTCCCTTGTTTTGTTTCTTTACATGAAATGAAATAAGACTGGAGTTAACAAAAGTAAAACCTAAAATAGATTTTCCTTTGTTTTGTTTATTTTAGATTTTCCCTTGTTTTGCATTTTCATGCACTTGTACTAATGTAAATGAAATTGCATTGCAAACAGAGCAATGGATGTAAAACTATGTGGTCCTCACTTTTTATATGAAAGATCAAGGTTGGAGGATTTTACATATTATGAAAGCACAAATCGTAATTATAAATAAATGGATGTAAAACTGAACCAGGTGAAAAATTTGCATTCAATTCAAATTTGCACTTTTGTATGAAAAAAGAGGCAGCCCCCAGTGACTCAAGATTTACATTTTGCATAAATCAGCGAGGCTGAATCATTTTCATCACTGTGTCACCGGTTAAACAAAAAAAAAAGGTTGACTTTTAGCTGGGCTAGGGTCAGACTAAGCTCGTGGCTCGTGTTACATTCATGCCAGGGCTCAATCCAAAAAAATAAAATGCCTAGGTTTTTGGATCCAGGCCCAAATTCAAGCCCAGTTAACTTAAAATTTTGGGTTAATTTGTGTGGGTTTGGGTTGGGTCCACCACTAATCTTTACAACTCCACCATATGATTGAGGGGCTTTTTCTTTGTTGGAATTTGGTAACGAGGGGCCTCTTCGTGGGTTGGATTTAGCTAAGTACCCCCATCTTTAGCTGAACTAGTAAATCCATTTTCGAGAAGATCTCTACAAGCAAGTATTTAATGCCACGACATATGGGGAATGAGTTGAAGTGTGGTTTTGGGGGTGTTTGATAACATGGTTGGTTTTATTTTAGAAAACAAAAATAATTGAGACATTAATAAAATTGTATTGTTTTTGTTTTTAAGAGTAAAACCAACCATGTTGCCGAACACCCCCTTAGGCTTTAGTCTCTGTTTGATATTATTGTTTTGGGCTGATCACTACAAATTACATACAACTGTTATTTGAAGTTGTTTATGATTCAAACAGCGATACTTTAACAAATGTACGTGTAGGTGGCTGTTTGTAGAGAAGTCAAATTGATGTTTCAAGTAGAAACAGCAATGTTACTAATCATTTTCTAGTTGAAATAATTCTCAGATGTGATGTGACAACACATCTTTCACCAATTTGTCTCTATCAACCCAAAGCCTTTCAGGTAGAAACAACAATGATATCAAATACATCCTTAGTTGATCAGAAATCTTGGAGCTGGATAAATTTGTTGCATAAAACACATGAGATTTTAGAGGAAGAAAGCCAGCCAAAATTATAGATGAATACCTTATTGTTTTTGATTGCTCTTATTTCAAGTATCCCATCAGCTTGGGTTTAACTAAATTTGCCTATGTGAATGAATCCAGATTTTGATTATAAGAAGGACATTTCCCAATGTTGATCCCATCTATTTGGGAAGGAGTGGGTTGGATATAGTCCTAACCTTTGATATGTTCTTTTCACAGAATGGCCACTCTCAGACTTGCAATTGCATTCTCACACACTTGACCAGTGTTTTAAGACTCAGATTGGATTAGACGGTCAAACTGTTCAACCCGAGAATCGGAAGGTATTCCAGTTTTTAAGAACCCCTGTTTTCATTTTTCTGAAAAACTGATAGGACCGATCAAAACCCGGCAAAACCATTGAAAACTGAGCAGGTTTCAACGACCCAGCCGATTTTCATGATCTAGACCACTAAATGGTTACAAATTTTAAAATGGTGATAAAGAGATTCAAAACTAAGTTCTTTTGATTACATGTATTAACATTAAACCATCAACACATCTTATTTTCTATGCTTACTTTTGCCTCTTCCAATATATATAATAATTAAATACGTGAAGTCGTGAATATTCTGAGGGAAAAAAAAAAAACAAGCTATTTGAACCCCTAGTCATTTACATCAAAAAACAATATTTTGACCATCTAACCACCACCGACAAATCTGTTATATATGGTTTTTATGTGAGTTGTGATCAAACCGTCCCGTGACCCTCCCTGTAAGCATTTCGATTTTCTGTCTGACCCGAGTCTTAAAACACTTCACTTCTCAAGATTTCACCATTAATATAAAAAAAAAAGCCGAAAAACCAATGAACTGAACTGACGGTTAATCAAACCTATCGGCTTCAGTTCGGTTTCAATTACCGATTTTTCAGAAACCAATAATACCAGTTCAGTTTCAAAAAATAGGTCCATGGTTCGGTTCATTTGACAAATCGAATCAAAACAACCTGTCCCACATTCAAACCTATGTTCTCACGGTTATCAGTCCAAAATTTCACCAAGCAATAATTCCTTATCTAACACCATGCAGTCAACAGGATTCAATGGAAATTTTGGTAAGAGGTCATAGAAAAAGAATGTTACCGAGGGGGTTTCTAAATGTAGGCTATTGGAAAGAGAATTGATAAGCATTTTATTAGAAAGGGAGTTGAGAGATTTGGAAGAGTTAAGAGGAATTGTAGTCTTTTACATTTTTATTATTTAAAAAATAAATAAATTACATATTTGAAATGGGAGAGGAGAGCTCGTACAGAGATCAGCTTCAGTCAGTGCAAGGCCCATTAGAACAACCCTTACAATTTTGTATTGGGTATGTATGTTATTTTAGGGGGAGATATTTCCAATGCAATGTTGGGAGAGGCTGTTCGAACGGTGTGAGCATGGAGTTGCACTGACCCAAGCCAAACTCGCTCGTACATAAATAGACATGACTAACCAAAAATTGGGGATAATGGAGAATATTCCAAAGGAAAGACTGTTTTGGGTGATAAAAAGTAGGAGGGATTTCAGAAAACTTTGAGAAAATAAGACTCATAAGAAACGAAAGAGAGAAGGTAGAAATAGTAAGGATAAAAATAGAAACAGAGATAGAAAAAGGAGATGGAACACATACCTGATCTCAATAAGCCATCCAAATTCTATTATCCAGAGGCGAAAAATCAAGACTACATTGAGATTGAGATTGTCAATAAGCAACCTCTACTACTAAAGAAACCTCACATTCCCTTATGTTTATCTGGAAACCCAAATCCCACTCAAGCCTTGATTCAACATTTGAAACGCAGAGAAATGGGCTTATTCTTATTAAAAGTGAAAGCATAAAGACTTGAAAATATGGTCATCAATGTGGAATTCTCCCACCAATCTTTCCAAAATCTAAATCTATTTTGTCCCATATATATCAGTTTATGGGTTAGAATCAACCATGTTGATATGAAAGTTACTGCTAATTTATATAAATAGAGAGAAGCTTGCCCAATTTACATTGTAATTTTCTACATTTTATCCATTTTATATAATAAGACTCCTAAGAAGTGATAGTTTGTATTTCTTACATTTATTTTTGTTTAATGAAGAAACCTTATTTTCTTTATGTAATTTCTGCATGTTTTTTGTATTTTTCTTTGTTCTGGTAATTTCCTTCATTAAATAATAACATTTCTTGTTTTCTATACTTATTTATGTTTCACATCAAGAGTACATAAAATTAAAGAGAAACTACAATTATAGGCTGTTTGCAGGGATCCACCTTGACAAACCAAAAGCCAGCACAGAAAACCCTACCAAACGGGCACCAGAATTTAGGACATGGCCATCTTAATACCCTTCCAAGAAATGGCCATGTTCACAGCGAACCCGGATTTCCTGCAATAAAAACTCTACCCCACATTAGGAATATCTCCCGTACATGTAGGTTAAAATTAAATTCATGGGAAAGTGTAAGGCTAGATTCCCACTTGCAGCAGGGAATCCGCGTTCAAAGCTTGTCACCTAGAACAATTTTTATGAGTGTCGCCCCTTTGTGCCCTATAAAAAATTGTGTATTTTGCATGTTACTTTGAACCATGCTTTCGATGCCGATGGAACACCCTTACAGTTACAGGAGGATCTAACTAAAAGTTATGAGGAAAGTTGTAGACATTCTCAGTAAAGTCGAGGTTTTAGATACTTTCTCGTAGGTCTGCAAGTCTATTACTACTAGTTGATATGAATGCCAGATCTTATTTCACAAATAACCAGAAGTAATTGCCAAGACATACCCCCAAAAGATTATTTCATCAACCTGGAGACAAATTGGATAATGGAATAAAACAAGAGTAAACAATTGTTCTTTACTGTACCTTGCGATCAAACTCTAAATCATGTATAGAAAAAAGCATAAAAATCCACCAAGATGTAAAATTACATTCTTCAATGAATATGGTTTCCGCTTCAGATAGTTTTAACTCCTGAAATATAGATTATGTTTAAGAAAGAACCAAGTCTCATTACACAGTAAAATTTGAAATTAAGAATCACGTATTCTACGCTTTTCCAATGAATGTCCTATTTGTTTCTCCTTTACAATTCATTGTAATTGATTAAAAAAACCCCCATTCTTATTTCTATTTATGATTATGATGAGCTTCTATATCGGGTTCTACCTTCCTTGTCTTGTTCTTCTTTTGCTGGTATTTGGCATATGAATACCACACACCACCAGCTGTGTTGATGACCAAGCCAGTCACATTCAGGGCATGTACTTGCACGCCACCAAGCAGGACAAAACCAAGGGTCTGGAAAGCATAGAAAAAATTTGTTATGTACATTTATGATTTAGTCGAACAATAGCAAGAAGAACAATGGTGGGTTTCTATGCCATAAATGAAGCTGTACTCACCGTGGAGCCCACACCCTTAAGCACTCCGACAATGGTTGTTGTCAGAGCCGAGTTGACTATGGTGCACAAGAACATGGTGAAGTTGAGAACAATGCCCATAACCAATGAAAGAATAAGCATAGCCAAAAATGAAAAAGAATTAGCCTGTCCAGGAAAAAGATTTAATGTATGTTAGAAATGGTTTTAACATATAAGGATGAAGCAAGCATGACAAACCCTGCAATAGGAATTCATTATCCCAAACTAAAATGATCGCATTTTCTAAAAATAATAGAAAATCAGTGAGGATATGGAAAAGAGCTTTTTGAAAAATAAATGAGGAAACTTCTTCAATTGACAACTTCCCTTGCATTTGGAAAATAGTGTTAAAAACAGTAGTTAGCAGGAAGAAAAAACCCAACTTTTTTAGACTAAGATTACCCCTGCGCAAGAAAAAATGGAATTCCCTCTTCTCATGCTATCCAGCAATAGAGTTCAAAAGTAGAGTAAAAAAAGAAAAATGTCTCCCTTGAGTATATGATAAGATTTTTTTTTTCAAATATCTTGGAGTTGCACCTTTAATGGCCATCCTCCAACCTTTCTTTTAAATCTAGGGTTATTTCATTTCATCCATCAAAAAATGGTCCCCAGAAGAGATCGAATCTGACAGAGATGAGATCATCAAGAAAATGAATTTCTTTAGAGGGAACAACCACAACGAAGAGGAGATAGAAGTCATCTAAGGTAGAAACATCCCAAAAACGAGTAGACCATAGCATATTTAACAACCCACCAGAAAACAAAAAAAAAAAAGAAAAAGAAAAAGAAACATTGAGCATCTATATTTCAACTTTCATTAGGAGGAAAGAACAAATAATGAGAGAATATACTAAGAATACTAGTCTTAGTAACATCTCTAGTTGAATAACAGGAAAGTACTATTGAATCCGGATGTTTCCATTGTATTTCAATATGACCTGAAATGCATAAACAGACTGAACAGCAGGAAGAGAGACAATTGCACAGCCTTGTGGCTTAATTCATACCTAGATTTTTAACCCTTGGTGTCAAAGTGAGTATATATGTTGTGTTCGTTGGTTGGCAGCAGGACCAGAGGCAATCATCTGGGGGGATGAAGTTTTCATATAACTAATTAAACAATAAAGAAAATGATGAAGGTTGCTAAAACCTTTTTTGCTGTTCACCATCATAGGGCAGAGCTTGGTGTTTGTTGTGTTTTTTCCTTTCATAATTCTGGCATTTGGAATATAAGTCGGGGTTTGAAAAGGGCTTGAATTTATTTCATCTCACTTGAAGTGATTTTTCTTAAATCTTTGAAGACAGTGAGAAAAAGACTTTGTTACGGAGACCTGTGAGAAGAGGGAGAGACCAAGAGAGTGAGTGAATGAGAGAGAGGAATACGAATGGTCTTTATGGGTGGGTTTTCGATCAAGGGCAATTTGGTCCAAAAAAAATTGTCCTGCTCATTATTTTTGCAATTATTTTCTAAATATAACTGAACTAATCTATAAATCAAACTTTATCATTTAATATGCCAAAAGCCTCAGGGAAAATTCTAAAGTGCAACATATTCTAAAACGTGTGAAAAGGGAAGACATGCCCAATACAAGTTACACAATGAATGCTCAAAGGACAAAACAATTTTGCAACAAAGCATAAAGCTACTTTAACCAGCACTGGCAAGAGAAGGTGGAAATGCACCAACCAAATTTAGGATGGTTCAAACAAACAGAAAAATAAGAACTAATCCATAAAAGCACAGTAAACACCCTTTCAGTAATAATGTCAGTGCTATTTGTTCATAGTGTAATGTAAAAAATAAAAAAAGAGAGAAAAGAACAAATTCCCCTAAGCTCAACCATCTTATATACCCCCCTCCTAACAATCAATTACACAATCATTCTTAAAGCCTGTTTCCCATCCCCACTTCCACCTAAAACTGCCAAAATGCTCTATCCACCTACATGAAGAATCCAATCAATGAACATTTTATTAGATTATGTCCGCCTTAGAAATCCAATAAATAATATATATACTTTCTTTTATCATGAAAGGACATTACTTGGTATAAGGGCAAAATCTTGGGCTGTCTAAGACCGCAGATAGCTGGGACCAACAATGGGTAATGGCTTTTTTTTTTTCTTTTATCATGAACAAAAGTTCTTTTATACAATCATATATGTCGTAGGTATTGGTTTTTGAAAGGATTATGCCAAGGTATGGATTTAATTCCACTAACTTAGAGACATGATAATCAACACAGAGACAAATTATTCTCAACTAATGACTAACTTAGGGCAGTTAGTCTTAATAGGTTGACAAGCAAATACTGCCCTATAAAAAGGGAAAATATGTCCCTATTATCAGAGTTACGACTCAAGATATATGCACGAACGCTTATAGAAACCATGGTTTAAAATGTCCCTAGTTTCCCTAATATTTCCATGACATATTTCCATTTCCATGGGTAGCGACACGAAATTTTACTAGAATCGACATTTCCCCAATGAACACTACCAGAACACAATAGGTGTATCTTGTTTCTGGGAATAGGTTTCAGTCACTCCATCCCAAATCTCCTTTGCAGTATTAGCCCACAAAATTTTTTTACTAATGTGAGGTAACATAGTGTTACACAGCCAGATCATCACCATGTAATTTTCCTGTACCCACCGGAAGGGATCTGTATCAAGTTTCTTCTCCTCCCCAATGATGTACCCCAGTTTCCCATGAGCACCAATGGCCATCTTGGTTGATTGTGCCCATTCTAGATAATTTGTATCATCAAACTTCACTGTAGTAATAATTCTAGACCCAAAAATATCACTACTACCTCCAACACTCAAACCCATGTTACCAGTGGACTTCTACTCGATACTCCAACTCTCCATTTTACTTCAAACAATTCAAAAGTAGAAAATAATTAGGTAGAGAGCCTCTAAGCTCAAATCGATCTCACACACAAAGGTAACAGACCTTTCCAAAAGAAGAAAACCCTATCCAGAGAAAATTCTCTCCTCCCATTGTCTCCCACCAGAGAGAAAAGTGAATCGGCCACTCCAAAAGGCCCAGAAAATTCTAGAAACCTAATTGCCCCCTATAGAATACCTAGAGAAGTCCAACAATACCTTAGTGCCCAAGATCAGATCAAAATTGAAGAGTCTAACTTGACTAGGACTCTTCCCTGCACTCCAGTCCTTCCTGATTTTGATGCCAAAACATAGATCACCCTCTTGATGACTAGATCACACCAAAAAATCCAAGAACTGGGCAATCTAAAGTAGATCGATCAGCCCTTTATCTCCTCATGCAATTGGTTGATCTAGGACTTCATGGAAAAAAACTTCAAGAAACCCTAGCTGAGCTCTGATACCAAGTAGAAAGGTGCTGAAATAAAGATGTGTAAAAGAAAAGAACATTTCTTGAAGAAGAAGAGAAAAAAGGAGAAAAAGAAGAGAAGAGATTTGAGAGAGAAAAGAGACAAATAATGCTGGCCGCCTTTTTCACTATTATTTATAGTCTAAAATAATAAAGAGTACAAAGACCAATATGCCCTTGTAGGGTGGCTAACACATAAAACAGCATAAAACAATTAAAATAACTGCTCAAAAAGGACCCAACAAGAGTGTTGTGGTCCCCACTTCCTATCTAAACAATAAATAATCAAAACTACCACTATAGACTACACAATTTGTCTAAAACCTCAACAACTTTTCTTATTGGTCAAAAATCCTTTGGTACTTTTGCCTCCTTGGGGATTAGACCAAAGAAAGTTGAATTTATTCCTTGAGAGATTTCCCCTTCATGAAAGAACTCATTGAAGACTTCCAACAATTCTCCTTTAATAAAGTCCCAACATTCCTGATAAAAGGCCAAGGAAAAACCATCCGTTCCTAGGGCTTTCGATCTTTCCATCAGAAAAACAACCTCTCTAGTTTCTTCAAGAGTAAAGGCACTCTCCAAAGTTGCTGACAAGGCTTCAGGCACTCTATCCTATTTAATATCTAGGAAACAAAGCTCCTTTCCCCTAGACCCATAAGTATTCCCTTAAAATTATCCACAAAAAAAATCTTTACAATCTCCTCCTTGGTTACCTCAAGACCATCCACTTCTAATCCAGTGATTAGGTTTTTTATCCTTCTATCACTATCTAAAGAATGAAAGAATTTTGTGTTGCGATCCCCTTCCAAAAGCCACTAACATCTAGATTTTTGTTTCCATGAAATTTCCTCCTTCCTCAAAACTTCTTCCAGCTCACACTTTAGCCTCCACCTTTTCCTCTAGTTGTTGCCAGAAATTTTTCTCTTCTACTAAAGTGATTTGTTTACCCTAACAGCATCTCTCTCTTTCTGATTTCTTGCTCATTCCTTGATGAACAGCAAGCATCCACTTGCTGTTCCATCTACCTTAATCACCCACAGCCCCTCATTCACCCCACAAAGCCCACCATCCTAAAATTAGTAGGACCCCTACCCCAAGTGACCCAAATATAGGCCCTGATTACTGTCTTTGATTCTACTGGAATCTACCCCCACTCTCCCAATTTCTGCTCCAATCTCTTCTAAATCAAAAACCAATTCTCTAGAATAAGCATCACAATTTCCTCCAAAATGAACATCAATAAGCTAAAAACCAATTAATATACTGGGATGATCTTCACAGAACAATCCATGTCATAAATGTCTGGTTTCAATAGAAACATAAATTGAGACAAACAGAACTACTCCCTTCTGCCTACTCTACAAATCACTTCAAAGATGTGGAACACAATAAAGCATCATCTACGCCCACATACTTCTGAACTGAAGCATTCAAGAGAAAAGTGTATTGCCTTTAGAAGAAACATTATACGCAGACTGATCTATATATACTTCAAATATCGTATAACCATGCAGGAAGAAGGGATGCATTATTTCCTTCTTCAAAAAAAAATCCTCTCCAACACCATCTTCCTTCGCAACATCATCAAGCTGCAAAAATGACTCCTCGCAATCAAGCATACTATCTCCTCTGAAGCCCTCAAGATTAACATACCATCTTCCTTTGTAACATTACCCAGTTGCATAAACTCATGATCAAGCATACATATCCCTTGAAGCCCTAAAGATCAACTGCATCATACTTCTTCATGTTCTTCCTTCAAACAATTTGTTGGGGTAACTAATTAGAACTTTATTCATTAAGGGAAAAGAATATAATGTACTTACAAGCTTTTCCAGGCATCCCCCTTCAAATCCAGTCTTTTCCTACATTTTTTTTTTCTTTTTCATAATTAACCAGGAATCATTTCATTAACATAAATAAGAATGTACAATGTGGACAGTAAGGGTTAAAGTTACCTCATAGAGTACAGATATTACAATTGAGACCAGTACAGTTGTTCCCTAACCCCTTGCCTGGCTAAAGAATCCGCTAGCCCATTTGCCTCCCTTGGGACCCATTGAAAAATTAATGTCATTCCCCTTAGTAACCATTTGATTTCCTTAACCACTTCTCTGTAGATCCAAGCCGCCTTCTTCTCATCCTTTAGCTAGCTAACCACCACTTGTGAATCCCCTTCAACAACCAACCTTTCCAGAGTACTTGTTTTGTATGTATACAAAATAATACAAGCAGTTCAGCTCTAAGGCTCTAAGGCTCAGTTTGGAAGACAATTCTTTTATAGAGTTCGCATCCCTTGTTTAGTTAAACTCTTATATAGATTATTAGAACACCTTTGAGTCCAAGTAAAAATTATCCCCACCTGTCTTTCTTTTATGCCTAAATGTCAATATGACATGGTATCAGAGAAAAAAGTATACCCATCTTGCTTCTCTTAAGAGATGTCTATAAATAAAGTATCGATATGCCCAATATTCCTAAACATGCATATCAGGCGTTTCTTTTTTTTTTTTGAAGAATAAAATATAAAATTTTATTAAAAAACAAAAACAGTTACAAGCTGTTCAGGTGTCAAGATAACACCCTAAATCAAAGCAAACAAACATCAAGAACTTCAGTTCAGACTGAACTGATTCACATTACAATTTTGAATCTCTAAAGTGTCCCAAAAATTATCAGCAAAGTCTGAAGGTCTAGTTTGCTCAAATTCTGGAAGAGACATGACCCAGCTTGTGATCAGTTTGCCAACTGAAGCCACAATCTCTTCAATGCTTCTTTCCTTTCCTTCAAATAGCCTCCTGTTTCTTTCCCTCCACAGAGTCAGCATACTGCAAAAAGATCTCTGTTGAAGAAGATGGTTGAAAGATGGTCCCAAAGAGGAAACAATAGAAACTCCAAATGAAATTTGCTAAGTGGCAGGAAAAAAAAACAAATGGTGTGTAGTTTCCCCATCTGACTTGCACATGTAGCAGTAGCTAGCCAAGCAAAACCCCCTACTTTTTAGAATATCTGATGTGAGGATGCTATCCATTGCAGCCAACCACGCAAAAGCTTCAATTCTTGGTGGAATTGGATTTCCCCATACTCCACACATTTGATCATTAATTACATAGTCCTTAATAAGGGCCATGTTAAATGATTTCACTGTGAAATTTCCTTTCCTGCACTCCTTCCACCACTGACCATCTTCACAAGCAGCAAAAATACTGGTCTGCTCCAATTTATTCAGCAATAAAACACATTCCTCCAGCTCTTGTCACGCAAAGGTCTTCTAAACTTGGGACTCCAAACCACCTTATCACCACTGACTTCATAGCATTGAGCCACAGTAACCCAAAAATCTATCACTTGTACAGTCTTGGGCACACATTACATAACTTCCCACCACCACTCCACTCATCCTCCCAGAACCTTACTCTGAATCCAACCCCTACATTGAAAACAAACCAGACCTCTAAAATCCTGGTTATAGCTCCTTATACCCTTCCATACACCCACCCCCATAGGAATTGGCTACCTCCCTTGGTTCCCACCCAAATCTCACCACCCCATACTTCCCTGCCACCACTCTTCTCCATAATGAGTCTCTTTCCTTTTCTAGCCCAAACCTCCTTAACCATTTACCCATCAGAGCTTTGTTGAATAGTTTTGTTCTTCTGAACCCCAACCCCTCTAAAGCTTTCGGCCTATAAACTTTCTCCCACCTTACTAGATGAAACTTCCGTGGAACCTTTGCACCTTCCCAAAGGAAGTCCCTCTGAATTTTTTCTATCTTATCAGCCACAGAAGTTGGTATTTTCAACAGTGAGAGGTAATGAGTAGGCAGACATTGAAGCACACTTCTTAGTAAGGTAATTGAGTAATTCTACCCCCCAAAGAGAGATATCTCACCTTCCACTTTTGTAATTCTACCCCCCAAAGAGAGATATCTCACCTTCCAGTTTTCCAATCTCATTTCTACTCTCTCTATGAGAGGTCTCCAAGTGCTGATACACTTTCTTCAAAGGCATTAAAATTGCAGGTGACTGATACACTTTCTTTTTTTAATTTTTTAGTTTAATATTTTTAAATGGGTTTATAATACTTATCTTTAACAATTAAACACATTAAAATTTCCAAAAACCTAAAAATAGGCATTTCAGTGACCCTCCAGAATGATATGGCGCTTCGTATCAATATTCTGAACCATGAATTCAAGGATTTGTGCTGCCAAACAATTTGTTGACTAACATAAAATCCTCACCCCCAATATAACCTTCAATTAACTCAAACTCTCCTGCTAGATGATGAATCTGTCAATCTGTTTGACTATCACTATCAACCTTGCCTACTGTCTTGAACACCAGGTTCACCCTTGCTTCTTCACCTTCTGCCTCTCTGCTCTTCTTGCCCTGAGCACACCCAGTTTTCTCTTGTTCTACCTCCTCTGATACTCTGTTTTCCTCTACTTTTCTTTCCTTAAATGCTCCTTCCCTTATCTCCAAAATGTCTGCCTCTCCTGACACAAAAGCACTGCACATCAAACACCAGACAAGATTTAACTTGCCTATCTGGCCATCTCATGTTTGATCTATGTAGACAAACTGGGAATTAGGTGATGGGGTTAAATCAAATTTCCTTCCGTGAAGTTCTAAATTCAGATTGTCTTGAACATGAATATTCACAGTCAAATATCCCAGATAAGTATGCAAGATATATGCTAGAAATGGATTTTTTCACAGTCAAATATTTGAAATACTAAATAGTTCCATTCAGACATAAAGTGATAAAGTTATGAAGAGTACAACTTATAGTCATAATGACAACCTCAAAACATAAAGATTCATCCCGCTATGGCATCTGTTTTCCAGATTGTGTGATGCTAAACAAATGAAAGAACTTGATAGTAGGAAGGATCTACTATCTTAAATTACAATGTAATACTGGCATTAAAATTGTCTGGCACTAGGACAATTGCCTCTAGGAAAGCTTCACAACATTGAAGAATCCAAAAAGAACATTACAGAACAACCCAAAGAAGAAACCTATCATGAATCATTCATCAAAAGAAAAACATCATTCAAAACCAGATATAGAAAAGCAGATTGAATATGCATGTTAAAATGGCATTAATCAATAAACAGCAAGTGCAGATACAGACCTCCAAACTAGACATAGAAAAGTAGATTCCACACAATATCACAAATTGTCAATGAAACATAGTCAAGCAATAAAAGCATAAAGGTTCTGACTCTCTGACCTTTGCAAATAATAATGACAAAGAATTTGGGAATTCTCCCGTAGCAATGATGAGAAAGAACAGAAATGGAAATGACAAAAAACCATTATAGAACATCAGCTCAACTGATGAAAGTCCATCCTCTGCACCAGACTTCTCCACCAGTACCAGGTACATAGTCTACAGATGCAACCAAGCATTTGTATAAGTATAACAATAATAAAGAGTCAATAAACATTCAAGCTCTGAAAAGAAATACTAATATATTTCATAACAAAGTTTTGAAGCTTGTTTTTATTAAAGAATGTACCATTTAAGTATGAACTCAACCTGGAAAAAAACAGAGGTCAGGGCCATGCTATATCCAAAGAGGTCAAAGGAGAAATCTCCCAGTGCTGCTATAATGACTCCAGCAGCAATGAATATAACTGAAAGCGATACCTGAAAACAACAGATACAAGCAACAGTTTGAGAGATAATTCCAATTTAAAGTGAGTTTAAAGAGATGCTTCAGTTGATGCTTTTGTACAAAATTTTCAAAGGTTCAGCCAAATATTAGATTCTGACAAAATGGCATAAAATCCCAGTTGATTAGTTCAGGCCAAAATTAACTAAAAGAAAAATTTCTCTTATTCCATGTAATATTTCCAAAGAAGAAAACTGACTCTGTCAACTATTCTTACACCATAGAAGGTTGCTTATTAGTTTTAGAAGCAAAAAATTAGAGATGCCTTTTTGTTTCAAAGAGAAGTTGATCCTAACTCCCTATTAACCTTATAATCAAACATGACATAATAAAGTGAGTGTGCACAGGCTATCAATCCATGGAATGGTTCTTGAATGATCAATAATCAATCACATACCTGTGTTGAAGGCTTCCCTTTTCCCGAGAAAATTCCAGCTACCAAAACAGCAAGCGGTGTAAGTCTTTTTAAGGCAATGTACATTGGAATGTTCACCCCTTTCAAACTGGCTAAAGCAAATGCAACATTTGCATTATAGAAAAACGAAACTGGGAATAGTTTCTTTGCTGTCACGATGTCAAATCCTCTAGCTTTTGTATGGCCCAACACTCGACCAAAGTGTATAAGCAAGGTTGTTGCCAATTGCTAATTCAAAGAAGATATATGATAGATGAATCAATAAGCAACAAAAGACAGGTAAATTGTTACAAAGAAAAAACACAAAGTTTCCTTCATCAATACCTGCAGGGTGAGAAGAGTCATAGAGTACCCATATTGCATCAGGATTGCCTTATTGATAAAAACCATGGCCATTGAAGAAATTCCATATGAGAACGCAGCAATCAAACTACAATCAGCATATGTAAACATAGATATAGAGTTAGACCAGTATAATTGACTTCTGTGGAAACTGGAGTTAAAAAAAAAAAAGATTCTAATCAAAGCCAACAGAAAAAAAAAGGAAGGGAGATTAAATTGAATCCAACAAAATATACATGTTGCACTACCAACCAACTCATTGATCAAGGCTGAAATTAAACTAATAATACATTTTCTTAATGGATTCTATCCTCTCCTAAAAAACATCTTTTGCCACATGTAGTTCAAAGTTTTTTTTTTTTTTTCTCTTCTCTGTATATGCAAGATCAAGATCTTGTAGTCGACCTGAGTAAAGGGCAAAACCACAACCAACAATTAAACCACCAATAAATTCTGTGAATCAAAAGAAAAAACAAGCTTAACAACGGCGTGCACTGAAAGAATAAATATGCATCTTGGATGATTCATCCATATTATCTCAAAGACTGGCCAGATGGCTTAGGATCTCAACATGCATCGTAAAACCAAAGAACTGGTCTACATATAATTGCAAAGATTTCAGAATCCATAAATTTAAAAACAAAACTCAGTTAAATATAAAATGACAAATACGTAGCATAGGCATGCAAAATTCTCTCCGGTATAATAATGGGAAAGCTAAACTGCAACCAGAAAAACAGAGAAGTTTGAAGAGACGAAAAAATAGGAACCAGAACCCAAAAAATAAAAATAAAAAACGCTCAAGCATCTTTACGTGAAGAATGAAGATGCAGAATCTACTTTCCCATTAAAATATCAACGCAGTTTTCTATAAATGCATCAACTAATGCAGATTCAGTAAAAAAGGCATAGATGGCACAAATTATAAGAAATAAAAAAGTAACCTCTTAAATGAACTCGTCTCTGCAATAAATCCACTTCCACTTTCCATGGCGATTATAGGGCTAGTAATTCCCCGGACCAAATCACTCAAGCAGATAGATAAAATCCAACCGTTCCAACTACATCATATAGAGTACGAGATTACTCCATTAACGCGAAACCAAACAAAATTCTGACAGAAACCTATAAAACAAAAAGGACCCAAATCAGTGCTGAATACAGAAACCCTAAATCTGCCGTGCAAACAAGCTCAGGCCAGGTCAAACGAATCGAAAACAAAGGAGCGCTGGAACGATCAAAAGGTTACCAGAGAGAGATATTCTTACATCGTTATACCGATTGATTGCAGAGATCAAATCTACAGAAGAGATATACAGGGACTTCCTTGGGAAGTGGAAGAGCAGGAGTGACTGCTCCCTTCTTTTTATTTATTTATTATTTATCGTCTTCTTTTCCATGGAAGTCGAAACACATGTCTTCCGCGGCAGTTTTTATCACATGAAGGTGACTTGCATGTGAAATGCGAAGGTGACTGGTGACTTCCCGACAATGTAATATAGTTTTCCCCGCCAGCATTTTAAGGACTGTTTGGTAGAATAAGGCTTTTTTTAATGCATTTCTATAACAAGCTCAAGTTATGAAGCTCCTAGAGTACCAAAGTATATTAGAAAAAAAAAAGAGTAATTTTTTTACAAACTATGAAACTCCTGGTGGATGTTTGGCTGCATTGCGTTTCGCAACTCGCAAGGGATTTGCTTCCTAGAAAATCACCTAGCGGTAAAAAAAAACGTTTCATGATCATTTTCCAGGAAAACGCATTTGATTCTATTTCTTGCCACATCAGCAATAAAAAAAAAAAAACAAAGTTTTTCTGGATAACACATTTGGCAGCGTGGCGTTTTTCCTTAGCGATTTCTTGTTTCTGACATTATCCCTTTCATCGCATGTGCATATGATGCACATTATTATTCTAACCCAACAGCATATATTTAAGGCATAGAAAATTAGAAAAAAAAAGGCATAATTTTATTCTAATCCAACAGCAAACGTATAACAAAACTTACTTAGAAATCTAAATAAATACTTTAATGCATATAAGTTTACAAATAAATAGCAATGTTTAAAAAAGTTTTAAGCAAATAAAATATAAATTTAAGTAAATATGATTTAAAGCATAGAAAATTAGAAACAAGTTAGATTTAAATATACATACAAAAATAGCTCAAAATTAGAAAAAAAAAAGTACTTTATTAAAAATATTATTAAAAGTATGAACAAGCATAACCCTTTTGCAACATGTACATAAAAAATACTTCCATTTGCATGAATACTTTAACAAATATTAAATTACAAATAAATAGTTGGGATTAAAAAGCTTGAAGTAAATAAAGCACAATTTTAAAGCACGGAAAATTAGAAAAAAAAACTTTATTCAAATATATATATAGACAGCACATCCCCGTTGTATATTGGGAACATCTCCCGATGATGACTTCATCAGGACTAGTACTATCATCGGGAGATGTTCCTAATACATGGAGGGGATGTGTTGTGGGGCATTGTGGAGAGGAGATGTGAACTCTATATATACATATAAAAAGTTGATTCAAAAGAAAATTATTTTATTAAAAATAAGGGTAAAATACAAAAATCTCCCTTGAAGTTTCTAACAATCATAAAAACCTCCCCTATAATTTCATTTTAGCAAATACCTCCCCTCTATTTTTGACAAAATCAACAAATACCTCCCTTCCGTCAATGACCAAGATGGAAAACATTAAAGAGATGACCATTTTTTTCAAAATACTTATTTTACCCTTTCTCGAACACTATTCATCTTCTTCCTCACACGCACAACGGCAGAATGGCAATGCACTCCCCCTTCCAACCTTCCCTCTTCTTTAATTTCCCWCTAATTCTCTCTCTCTCTCTCTCTCTCTTTCTCCAACAACGATAGAATGGCAGTGCATTGTTCATCTTTGTGTCTCCTCTTGTTTATTAATGTTTATGTCTCTGCTGATGAAACTATCTTTACCTTTCATCTCCCCAAATCACGTTGACTTGCAAGGTTGGAATGACCAGAGCAGCACCAAGAATCCAAGCAATCACAACAGCATCAACTATCTGAGCTCTGCTGATTCATCCCACCAAAAACCACAACCAACAAATACTTTCTTTGGTCCTTCACAATCACTTTGCTCGACCTCCGATACTCACCACTGAAATCTAAGCATGGTCGATAACCCAAACTAGTTGGCTGCTTCCAAAACTCCGTTTCCTCACCGTCCTCCTCTTCTTGGTGAACATCCCCAGTATTTGATCCTAGACCCATCACTTTGCTCGACCTTCGATACTCATCGCTGAAATCTAAGCATGGTCGATAACCCAAACCATTTGGCTGCTTCCAAACTCGGTTTCCTCACCGTCCTTCTCTTCCTAGCGAACGTCCCCAGCATTTGATCCTAGACCCATCTACGTAACCGAGTCCTTCCTCAAGATTAGCATCTRTGACTGACCAATGAAGCATGGGTTGCGCAAAAAAGGCAATAGTGGGTCGAGATTGAAGCCCAACCTCAACATTCCGACGAAAGCAAAGAAAATGTTGAGGTTGGGCATTCCAATCTTGGTGCTGCTCTAGTCATTCCAATCTTGCAAGGATGAACAATGATTTTTTGCAAAAATAAGTAGCGCAAAGAATCGAAAGATGAAACTCTAAAACAGACACATTTACAAAAATCCCCTTTTACCAATGATTTTTTAAGGAACGTCTTTGTGGCTTATGTTATGTTTTATTTTTCTTGATTTAAATCAGACAAACTAAAGAAGAAGAAAGGGAGAGTAAGAGGAGACGTAGAGATGAACAATGCACCGCCATTCTACCGTTGTTGGAGAGAGAGAGAGAGAATCAGAGGAAAATTAAAGAAGAGAGAAGGTTGGAGGGGGGGAGTGCACCGTCGTTCACGTGTGAGGAAGAAGATAAATAGTGTTCGAAAAAGGGTAAATTAGGTATTTTAAAAAAATGGTAACCTTTTAACATTTTCGGTCTTGGTTATTGATGAAAGGGAGGTATTTGTTGATTTTATCAAAAATAGAGGGGAGGTTTTTGCTAAAATAAAACTATAGGATAGATTTTTATGATTGTTAGAAACTTCAGGGGAGGTTTTTGTATTTTTCCCTTAAAATAATTTGCACATGGATCCAAATAATCACATTAAATGTATATACTCAAGTTCAGGAAGAGTGTAAATAGTAAATTTGTACATGATACATGAAAACAAGAAATTTGTTTTTTTCTACTTTTAAGAGTCTCAATCTATAATATATATATATATATATATAAAATAAAATTGGATATGCCATGTCAGCATGTCTCTTCTTGCTCAAAAACCCCCCTTCCTAATTTTCTTTTTTTTTATTTTCTTTTTTCTTATTCCACATAATTTCTAAAAGAACCAATGAAAGACAAAAATGTTTGGACTTCCAAAAACGTCTCCTTCTCTTTCATTTTCCAAGAAGCCTCTCTCTCTCTCATTAAAGCATGTTACTCATATGTTTCAAGTAGCAACCATTGATGGTGTAACAGTGGAAGGCATTTTGGGTTTTAAAGTGGGGAGTAAGAAATTGAATCTATGCATTTCATTTCTCTCCCTCTCCTTTTATGATTTTCTTATTTTCTTTTCCCTTTTATGATTTTCTATTTTGGTGTTCATTTCTCCTCCTCTCCTTTTATGATTTTCTACACCAGTCATAAATTCTGTAAAACCCACAGGCCACAACCACTCAATCTCTCACTTACCATTTATGGTTGGGATGAGATATTATCATTCGTTCCACTGCCACAGCATTTAGCTCAGTTGCATCTTTAGGAGTTTCTTTTCTTGAGGATGCCACATTGGTAACGGTTATATTTTCCATGCTTTTTGCCATGGTTTGAGTAAGCAACGTTAGTGCTGATGAATTAATTAATTGATGATGCAAAAGTGCTCTTAGGGCATATAATTATAATGATGCCCCTAAGTGATATTTTGGTAAATATTCATTCCAAATATTGTGGTCTATGGGAAAAATATTCATTCCAGATATTAAGATGTTTATATACACGAAATCATCAATTTTTAGTTTCAGGATCTTAGGTTTTTAGAATACGTGAAGCATAGGGGATGATAAACCCAAATCGGCCCTTTCAAATCTAAAAAACTAGCGGGGGCCTGTATGATATATGGGATTTGTTAAATGAAAGCTAAACAATAGAAAATACATAAGAGTATACAATTGTTTTATATTTTTAATTTTTTAAATAATTAATAATTACATATATTTTATATACTATTTTTAATATTTTTTATAATACAAAAATAATATTTAATTTCAAATAGGGTTGTTCATCAAACTGATTAACCCAACCAACTTGACCCGAGTTGGTCGGTTTTCTAGTATTTTCGATCAATTTTGTTTCAACAATTTCCCAACCCGACCAGGTTGGATCAGTTTTTCTTTAGCCATTTGTAAATCGACCAAAATGGAACGATTCAACCATAGGTATATATTAATATTTTATATTTTTAATATAATTTTCAATACACAAAAGTGGGAAAATTACCATATTTCTTAGTCTAAAATATTTTATATCATAAATTTAATTTTTAAATTTATTTTTAAAAATGTCATTGTATTTTTTTAATTTAAATTTAATTTTTTTAGCTTAAATCTTTTGAACTAATTGACAAACCAAAAATCGATCCAAACCAATACAACCTAAATTGGCCGGTTTTCACCAATGGTTGGTCGGTTTCAGGTGACCAACTCCCAACTTGACTAGGTCGATTTGCTTGGCCAAAATGCCTACAACCGAACCGAACCAACCTGTGAACATTCATAATTTCAGCTAAATTAATAGTCTAATCTCTAATAAATAACAATAGTTTAACCTCCAATAATTATTGAAAATTTATAGCGAAAAAACACAATTATTGAAAATATATTGATAATGAAAATACAATAAATAACTAATAAAAATACAATAACTACAAAATTACAATAAATACTAAAAAATATATTAAATTAGTCAATAAATAGTGTAATCTCAAATAATAGTTTAATCTCTAATAAATATTAACTAATAAATTATGAAAAACATACAATAAGTACAATAAATTAAATTTAAAAAGATAAATAACAATAGTTTAATCACCAATAATTATTAAAAAAATTCTACTAAGTAACAAAACAAAAATAGATTTATACATAATTATTGAAAACATATTTATCATAAAGATGGATTGTTTGGTGTATATATAAATATATAATAAATATAGGGGGTGATGAGAAAATTAAGTGGATAACATCTAATTTAACAGTTAGAGTTCAATGGGAAAGGAGATCAACTAATGGGATGACAGATCTTCTTACCAAGCAAGAGGTGCATAGGGATTAATTATTCTGGGCTCAATTGTAATTTTGCTTTGTTTTCTAAGGCAGCATCTTGCACCTCTCCGTGGGATCT